CGTATACTTCAAGTCTGCACTGTTTACCCTATACAGTGGATATAAAAAGTCTACACACCCCTGTTAAAATGACAGATACATCCCCAGTTATTGGAGGGTGTGCACACTTATGCAACCACATTATTTTAGTTTTTTATGTTTACTTCCTCCCTAAAAGATTTCAGTTTGTTTTTCAATTGAGTTGTACAGTTTATAGGTCACATTAAAGGTGGAAAAAATTCTGAAATGATTTATCTTTGTCTCATTTCTTTACATCACACAAACCTGACATTTTAACAGGGGTGTGTAGACTTTTTATATCCACTGTATATGTGGTCAACCGCCACCCACACAGAATAAAACACTGCCTTTTTTATACAATGTTCAGAATTCCAGCTGCTGAGGAACTACAGGACTCAGCATATCCAACACAATTGCAAGTAAGTGGAACCACCCAATTAGACAGGCCTACTCTAAAACATTTTACAGAACATGGAACCATTTTTTTGTCTCTTTTTTTTCTGAGCTCAGCAATTGGCAGCAAAACAACGGCAGAAATAGATTTCACACAGCTGGTCAAGGGCTGCGAGCCAAGAGCTGGAAATGTGGAATGAAATGTTTCTTGTATCAGAGGAGAGCCATGACTAAGGTAAAAGCGAAAGAAACACAAGACTTCCTTGTTCCCAGCGCCTGATTCCCTGCTTCTAATGCTAAATGGATTTACAGCCATGTATGTATTTATACATATGCACAAGCGGTTCTTCAAAAACCTGTTATAATGAAACCTAAACATATCTTATTACTGGATGTATCTGATACGGGTACACTGAATAAACAGCTACTGAATCATATTTGCTGCATCCACTCGATGTTGTACATATATACAGTATATGATGTGTGTGTTCATGTACACACTATCGTCTGCCTGTAAATGTCACAGCCGCATTCACTGCTGGCAGAACATTCCCATTAATCCGGTATATTATTCCATCAATAATAAAGCACATATATAGTTACCTCCCTCCGCTGAGGATTACAAGGAATTCTAGAGACATATGAACAATTGCTGCTTCACAAAGGTCTGTGCAATTTTTCTCCATTTTTCTTCAGCCATCCTGGTAATCGTACAACACAAATGCCCACAGGATGTGATCTTATCATTTGATTATGAGAGCGCTTGTGTTTTCTGCTTGCTTTTACTATTCTAAATGGATTTCAGGTATTTTCAAGCAATGACGCTAAACAAGCTGCCGAGGTCAATGAAAAGTAAACGAAACTCCTCCCCACAGATTTTACCCTAATGAAAGCTATCTATACACAAACCCATATAAGAAAGAATACAGTGGGACTGTTTTTCAGTACTAGCAGAGTGGAAAAAGAGTTAGTATAATCTTGCAGAGGAGTGATTGATAAAACTGTTATTCTGCAGACTTTACAGATGGCTTCTGCAGAAGTTATGCCCTTTGCTGAATATAAATTTACAGAATTAAAGTTGAATGTCGGGCAGATATAAAAGACACACATTGATGCAGCTTTGTATACATTAATACATCATTATATGTATGTTTATAAATGCAAACAGTGTAAGCATGTCAATTTTACTTCGAATCAGCCCCTTACAGTCCCTGTATAGCAGAGTAGAAAAAGAAGAGAATCAGTTATGTGCAAGGAGGTTGCTATTAGGAGAAGAGAGCAGAGAGATGAGCTCATTAGTCTGCTTCCTCTCCATTCGCAGGTTGGAGAGAGATAAGACCTTTAAAGATTAGTTTACACTTGCAGTTGGGGGATGGTAAAAAAAAAAAAAAAATGGTTGAGCCATGACTTTACCAGTGACCCTTAGACAGGCCATAGATGATGCAGTTTTCTTTCCTGCTTGGGTTGAAGGAAAGAAAATCACTGGTATTCCTCCCACTGAGGAGAGGAAGGAGATGCACGCGGTGGAAAACACAGTGATTATTACTAGTGGCTGTAGCTGCTGGTAATAATCACATGTAAGATTCAACATGTTGGTTGCACCGAAGTCGTACAACAAACTGGGTACAATCAGCCTGCTCCTTGATGGTTCGAATCTTGGCTGGTCCCTATGGCAAAAATTATCCCTTCTCTTGAACTTGGCAGGCAAGTACCACCTGAAACAAAACCCATTCACCTGAACCTAGGCATGGTAGTGTTGGTATGTCAGAAGTTAAAATGAGCCATGAGAAGATGACATAATGCATCCTTACCACCTACCAACTGCTCTCTGAGGAGCAATTCACCATGGATCACTCTTTAAAAGGCCAACACTAGTGCAAACTAGCCTTGAGTGTTACTAAAATTCAAAGAAAAATCATGTCTTGCTAGATAGGGCTGTGTAAATTTCAGGACTGGAAGGACATAAATACAAATCCATTGGCAAGTAAAACAACTTCCATATTTGTACAGCCCTGGTCAAAAGTTTTGAGAATGACACAAATATTAATTTATCTTTAAGGAAACACATGCAGTCTTCATTGCTTTGCACAAAAAGGGATTCACAGGCAAGAATATTGCCACTACTAAGATTGCACCTAAGTCATCCATTTATTGGATCATCAAGAACTTCAAAAGGAGAGAGGTTGAATTGTTGTGAAGAAGGCTTCAGGGCGCTCAAGAAAGTCCAGCAAGCACCAGGACCGTCTCCTAAAGATGATTCAGCTGTGGGATCGGGGCATCACCAGTGCAGAGCTTGCTCAGGAACGGCAGCAGGCAGGTGTGAGTGCATCTGCATGCACAGCGAGGCGGAGACTTTTGGAGGAAGGCCTGGTGTCAAGAAGGGCAGCAAAGAAGCCACTTCTCTCCAGGAAAAACATCAGGGACAGACTGATATTCTGCAAAAGGTACAGAGATTGGACTGCTGAGGACTGGGGTAAAATCATTTTCTCTGATGAATCCCCTTTTCAATTGTTTGGGGCATTCAGAAGAAAAGGTGAGCGCTACCATTAGTCCTGTGTCGTGTCAACGGTAAAGCATCCTGTGACCATTCATGTGAGGGGTTGCTTCACAGCCAAGGGAGTGGGCTCACTCACAATTTTGCCTAAGAACACAGCCATGAATAAAGAATGGTACAAAAACATCCTCAGAGAGCAACTTCTTCCAACCATCCAAAAACAGTTTGGTGATGAACAATGCCTTTTCCAGCATGATGGCACAACTTGCCATAAGGCAAAAGTGATGACTAAGTGACTTGTGAGACAAATCATAGACAATCTGAGTCCATGGCCAGGAAACTCCCCTGACCTTAATCCCATTGAGAGGTGGGTGAGCAAAAAAACACCCACAAATTCTGACAAACTTCAAGCAATGATTATGCAAGAATGGGCTGCCATCAGCCAGGATGTGGCCCAGAAGGTGATTGACAGCATGCCAGGTTGAATTGCAGAGGTTTTGAAAAGGAAGGGTCAACACTGCAAATATTTACTCTTTCCATAAACTTTATGTAATTGTCAATAAAAATCTTTGACACTTATGAAATGCTTGTAATTATACTTCAGTATACCATAGTAACATTTGACAAAAAGATCTAAAAACAATGAAGTAGCAGACTTGGTGAAAATTAATTTGTATCATTCTTAAAACCTTTGGCCAGGGCTGTATTATATCTGACAGCTGGACACTGACTGGCCTCTGCTTTCTCTTTTTCCATTCAGCAACAAATTCATTAATGGAAGATTTTGCCAGCTCCTGATTTTTTTCTCTTTTTATGTCCTGGAAATCAGGTAGAATTTGCAATACCTTAATGATTACTATTCACAACCAGAAAGAGGTTTCCACTTAAAAAATCAAAAGCAATTTAAACATCGCTGACAATTTATAAATGCATTTACGTGTTAATAATATAAAAATACTATATACTTTGTAAACATGTCTATACTCCATGTACAGTGTAAACAGCACGGTTCCCCTCTGCATAAAAGCATACAATTTTTTTTTTCCAGTAAATTAAGAGACACGAGGTCAGTCAAGCACAGAGGGCTCTCCATTACTGATCCCATCTGTGTCCATGTAGAGGTGAAACGTTCATGCCAGTCAGTAGGCCTTAAAGATAAAGTGCCTTAGCGTTAGCACATTCCTAATTGGAACCTCATAGAAATCTCTGTAGGAAGTTCAAAGGTGCTGACACACTGCCTGACTGTGTCCACAGAGTAAGTGACTGAAGTATACATGTTTAACCAAGTTACATGTCAGCTACGAGACAGATGAGGTGACTAAATGAAGAGACTTGTCGAGTGTAAAGCCACTTACAGCAACTGTGCTGATAACTGCTGACACAGCAGAATTACTCTGTAAATCATGACAAAAGACACCGAGCCTACTATTTTTGGCCTCCCACAAGATCATTTTCAATTTATCACTTAGGCTGCCTGTATTGGAGACAACCTATGCCTATGGTCTAAAATAATAAAATATAAATCAGTCATTATCATTGCAGGTAGACCTCAGTAATTTTGCCTATAGCAAATATTCATCTTTCATTTTTATGTCCTTTCCTACCACAACTTTAAAAATGAAACCTGGAATATCACTGGTTACTACAGAAACTCTTCCTTGCAGTAGTATTTATGATCCCATATAGATCTATTGGTATGGCCCACTGTGTAAATCATGGCACCTGTACTGTAGTGATAAATATAAATAAAAGCTGTGCATAGGTTTCTAATAGGGTTATAAATGAAATTAGAATGTGTCATATTAAGGCGTCATGGACACTGGATGTTTTTACAGCTGCTGCTCCTAGGGGCACCTGGCGGGTTTTCTTTCTGCCTCTAAACTCCCCTGCATGTTATCCTTTGTGTCCATGCACACATGGGCTTTTAGCAGTGTTTACAGCAGCGGTCACTAAATGGCGGACCGCGGTACGAGAACGTGACATCACATCACGTGTGTGCCCCGCTCCTTGTAGCTCATTATCACTCTGGCTCCAGCTCCCTGCCTGTACACAAGCATCCTTCAGTAAGGATCCCTGCACAGCTCCTGTATGACCTCAAGGTAGGGTGTAGTCTTACAGGGGCACTCTGATGGGTACATTTAATGTCAAGGTACACTCTGATGGGCACAACACTGAATGTGCCCATCAGAGTGCCCCTTAACATAAAATGTACCCATCAGAGTGCCCCTTAATATAAATGTGCCCATCAGAGTGCCCCTTAATATAAATGTGACCATCAGTATGCCCTATTTTATGTTAAGGAGCACTCTGATGGGCCCATTTTGTTAAGCGGCGCTCTGATGGGCCCATTTTATGTTAAGGGGCACTCTGATGGGCCCATTTTATGTTATGGGACACTCTGACGGGCCCATTTTATGTTAAGGGGACATTCTGATGTGCATGTTATGTTAAGGGGGCACAGATGAGCACATACTGTGGTAAGGGGCACTCTGATGGGCACATGTGATGGAAAGGGCCAGTCTGATTGGCACATTTGATGGAAAGGGGCACTCTGATGGGAAATATGATGTAAAGGGGCACTCTGATGGGGCAATATGATGGAAAGGGGTACTTTGAGTGCAAGGGGGCACTCTGACAGGAATACCTGATTTAAGGTGGCACTGTTATTAGAATACCTGATGTAAAGGGGCACTCTGATGGAGACAACTGATGTAAAGGAGCACTCTGATGGGCACACCTAATGTGATGGCAATACATGATGTAAAGTTGCACTCTGATGGCGACACCCTATTCGGACCTGGGCCAGAAGAAAATTTTAGTGACCAGACCAGCAAAAAAAAAAAAAAAAGTTGAGCTGCCCCTATTTAAAATTATCACTAGTAAAGTACTGTACCTATAACAGTTGGAAGATACAGCTATCCCATGGTTATTTAATGGGTAATTCCACTTTCGTGGGGAAAAAAGTTAGCAAACAAAATAAAAATATATAGCGTACACACTTGTGACACAAGTCATATTGTAATCAAATATTATTAAAAATTACCTTTCCTTTTCAATCTGCAGCATTGTAATTTTCTGTAAAATACAATTCAATATGGCAACCTAGAGGAGTTTGTACACAGATAGTATACAGAACGCCCACCAGAAATGTAATTTCTTACTTGAGTGATTGGCTCACTGATTTTCCCAGAAGTCTGCTATAAGATACAAGTCACAATTTTGGCATCCCCTGCAACAAAAATGTCATTTTTGTGCATACTCCCAAAGGGAAATCACAACTAAAGGGATGCAGACCCTGCCATTAAAGCCCCGCTAGTTCAGCAGTTGATTAATAATTTATGAAATCACTCCCATACAGATTCACTCTGCACATGGACAAAGACAAACAGCTTTTTCTTCAGAATAACCAAAGGTAGGAATCAGCAACAAAGTTTGTTAAAATCCCTGCAATGTACATAGATCACCCAGAGGGAAATTTTCTTTAACAAAAGTGGAGTTAAGCTTTAATTGTACCACAAACAAACATGACTGCACCAGACAATCAAGCCTGTTTATGCCCTCTGGAGACCCCATCATATCATCAGCACTCCCAGACACCCCCTCACTGGTCTTCTCTCTGAGGCACACTAGTAAACATCTGTAAAAATCTATGGCTCACAAACATGTGATGAAACCCCAATCCTACCATTTTCATCTGGTTCGTGTGATAATCATCCTAAACTGTTCACACACATATATTTATAATCTAAATATACAATTGCCTTTAGCTCCACCAACAATTATGTAGTTAGGAGGAATGTCTGATGCAATACAAATTGATGAAAATGTTTAGGTGCTCTCAAATGACATCATTTTGGTAAATTCTAATATGACCACACATGATACAGTCTGGTTGTAGAATAATTGTACAGTTAGCTTTGCAAACATCTATGCAGGGTAAGTGCCTGTCCAAACAATCCCTTCAATTCAGATCCAATCAGATAGACCCCCCCATACTGCATATTTGCTGGCAAACTTTAAATATTGTATAACCAAACTAACATGTGGTCAGCTTGTACAAGAAGATCTACAATACAAAACCTGACATTTTTACTTTGACCATAAATAGAGAAGTGGAGGGGTTCTGTGTTGCAGTGAATGGGCAAAAGTTAAAAAGCAGTATGACTCAACAGCTTGCACTCTTTATTCTCCATGCCTACTGTTACCTTAGTATGTGCTACCTCCCCCCCAGGTATGTAATAAGGTACACTGTTCAACAGCCTATAGCAACCCATCAGATTTCTTTCATTAACCTGATTATGCTAACATTCCAAACCTGCTGCTGTAAGCCATTATTAGTTTATATATCATTAAATTAACCCTCTGCAAGTACAAAGTAACACTAATATTTAGCTTGCGGTATATTATCCACTATCAAAACTGCATTTATAATTTCAACACAAAAAAGGTCTTTCAACTTAAATATATAATAGTAGCTTTCCTTGATGAATAATTCTCTGTATGCGGTAATGAGTTCAGAAAACAGAGAGTGATCCGTTTTTTTCAGGAAGGATAAAGTCGTTTTTGAAGCTTTTATCAAAAGCTGGTATTAAGATTAATCATTTGCAAATCCAACCTATGAAGTGACTAATATATCCAGAGTACAGTCATATGTTACAAAGAGAATCATCTATCTAGATCCAGCAGTCACATGCCTTATTTTCTTCAATAATACCAGCTTAACACTAGAGGAAGTAAAAAGCAGCTGAAACAGTAGGTGGTTTGATTTCTTCTTCTCCAATGACAAAGCTTCAAGTAAAACGTATGAATTTTCCAATATATATATATTTTGTTTTGTTGTACAATATTTGCCTGAAAATGTTTTTTTTTACTTATTTCATAATAGCGTAACTGCCATAGGGGAAGATCTCAGTGGGAGAAAGCACAATGCACATCAATGTTGAAGACTGCAGAAAAAAAGGATCCATAAAAATCTGCTTATATCATATGCATGGAGGAACTATTAGTCATGGCAAATGAAAATGTTTCTAAATTTAGGGACTTGTGGTTTCCATGGATAGAATTCTCTAATTCTCCAACGCTATTGCTATTTCTAAGCCATTATATACCAGTACTTACCTCCTGGTAGTACATTGGGTTGACCCCCCTGTCGGACACCCCCCTCTCCAGTTTTCTTTCTCCCCTTGTACAGCTTATTCCTCTACTCCTTCCTATCCTCTTCTTCTATTCCCCAATCTTTCCTGAAAAAGAATGCCTTGACGGTAAGTTTACATCAAACACAACTTTTGTTGGTGTCTTACTCTCATGAAATCTCACATTCTCCCTACAATATGTCATACTCACTTTGGTACTTGGATTGCTCTTTGCCAATCCCTTAACAGGACCTAATTAGGGCAATCACCAAAGTGGACGTTTTAGCTCGCAACTGTTTATAGTCTCTGTTTTGTCCTTTCTTCTGAGCCATATTTGTGTGGATTGTCATGTATTGTTGACGATGGGCTCAGACATCGAATGTATTATCACCATTATGGTATACTGCTCAACTGTCTTGCTTTGTTTTTTTTATTCCTGTCAATGTGCCGCATATTTCAATAAAACTATATTCTTTAAAAAAATTAAAATCTGCTAACTCTGGCCTTGCACTCAGCCTGTCCTTTAGGCTCTTTTGTGCTAAGTTTGTTTTATTCTGGGCTCTCTTCCGGTTCATTATAGCATAAACCTTAATAGATAGATGATTCCACTATAATGTTAAATGCTCATAATGCCAAGTACCACATCATTAGTCACTTAAAAGTAAATCCCCAAAGTTCAATCCCTCACCTGGGTTCTTTTTATTAGCTCCCTTCAAACTGTGGAAAGATTTGCTCCATCAGATCGCAGATCTGCAGCAATGATGAATTTCAGTGTGTACAATTCATTCAACTCAGCCACTGGAATATAAAATTTATATAAATTCCCCCTGCAAAGAAGTATAACTTTGCAAACTTTCACTATGCTGAAAAGATACTCCTGCCTGAAGAATCTTCACAATCATACACTTCTGGGAGTGTCGGATTCCTGGTCTCTCTATGCACTCATCATTACAGGGCAAAGTAGTTACTAAGATGCTGGTGGGTCAAACCACAGAATGCAGTTGAAGACCGGGAAACTCACACTCTTTGAAATGTTGGATTTTGAAGATTCTTTAAAATGATTCTAAAAGGTGATGTTTTTTTCTTTAAAATAACAAATATGTTATATTTACCTGCTCTGTAGACTCGCTCCCAAGTTTTGCTGTCTGCATCTATTGACACAGGCAGTGGGACACGGCCCCACCCCCTCTCCCTCATCACTGGCTGTGATTGACAGCAACTGCTGTTTCTGAGCCAATGAGAACGGAGAGAGAAGCTCTGCTCTCATGCACATCACAAGATCAAGATTGGGCTCAGGCGAGTATAAGGGGGGCTGGGGGGAGTGATGCATGCAGAACGTTTTTTCACCTTAATGCATAGAATGCATTAAGGTGAAAAAAACTTCTGCCTTTAGAACCACGTTAGGCAATATTATCTTTTCAATACAGTAGAATTTGACAGCACAAGGAAGAGGAGGCATCAAATGTCACTTTTTCATATACATTTATATTCCAGTGGCAGGAAAGACATTAAATGTCACTCTTTTAATGTATTTTTATTCCAGAAACAGAGTTGCTTTAAGAGCTGTTATAAGAAAATAATTGACTTAACTATTTAAAAAGGTTTTCTAAATAGTGCGTAAAGTTGACCACTGTTAGGCAGACCTCCAGCAAAAGATCAAAAAAAACGTTTTCTTCTAATAAGAGGCAACCATTCATTGTAGCTTGTTTTTGCACCCTAGTGAGCAGTGGCAATACATTTCTCAAAACAAGTAGGATCAAAGTCCCCTGAGAAGTAGGTGATGACCTTTAAAGCAAAAATCCAGACAAACCATAAATACATGTATGTTTCAAAGACATTACCAGCTCAAAAATGTGTAAATCCATTCAACCAGTTTTGTAATTTACACTTTAGGCATACTGCAGAGCTAAGATGATACATATTTTCTGGTTCAGCACTGCAGCTTCTCATGTCTAATCTGTCTTCCTCCAGAATGCTTATTGGACAATGAACACACACACTACAACATATACACACACAGAAAGGCCTACAATCACAGGAGTCCCAATGTAATATTATATACGAAAAATAATAATTTACCAAGTAATTTCACGTTTCAATAGTTATGCTTCCATAATATTACTCTGGAAATATATCTTTCCTTTGCGGATGCCACCCTGACTGGCATTACAATTCATCTACATAGAACCGGGTGTTAGACACCACTCCGAAATTAAAGGTGTGGAGTGAACATGAGCTTTAGTTTTCCAGCAGAATTTATGAAAATCCAGAGCACTGCTTCTACAAAGGTCGTAGATCTATTACAGTAAGTAATCTGGACTATTGCCAGCAGGAATAGGATGAGAAAAAATAGAGGATGACAATTTTACATTTTGCAAATTGTAAACCTCTCAAGGGACATCATTTCTCAATCAGATTCACTTTATTAGGAAAGGTTATTTTCAAAAAGTTTTATATTATAGGAAGATGACGTATGTCCTTGTACAAGAAATATTTGCTTAAATCAATAATAGTGTTATTTCAGTTAAAGGGAATATGTTAAATTTATAGGTAAATGTAATTGTAAGTGGATATTCAGTAAAAATAGGCAAACCAC